TTTTAGGGTTTCATGATGCAAGAAATGTTATCTCCTCTTTTTTCACATTTGACTGAGCCTCTGTGTGTGTGTGTGTGTGTGTGTGTGTGTGTGTGTGTGTGTGTGTGTGTGTGTGTGTGTGTGTGTGTGTAATCTTCTCTTTGCAAGATTTCCCCTCAGGCCAGCAGGGGTGAACACAGCTCCCCGGGTGGGAGTTTTTCTTGCACTTAGTGTAAGCATGTGCCCAACAAGTCGCCGCTCCTTGATTAGCCCGGGCTACAATGCAACCTTATTTAAAATACACAGTGGAATTCCAGGAGAGCAGTGAAATCTGAGAGCCATGAATTATAAATACAACAGGAGGAGAAAAGCAAGACGCCACAGACACTCTCAATGTGTATTGTGCATGTGACTGGATGTTTGTGATTGCAACTACTACTAATGTTACTGCCAATGTCTCTCTACATAGACGAAGAAATGAATCAGTGTAGAAAAGGAGCCAACATAATGTAAAACTTATACTACATCCAAAAAAGATACAGTGTGGGTCTGCCAAGAAAATACAATATATCTATACTGCACCAGTACTCCACAGATAGGAGCAATAAGAAACAGTTATGACATCAAAATCTTACTAAGTGTGAAATGTGTTAAGCCCATTGCCAACTATAGTAAGTCTAATAAATTGTGAGGAAAAGAAATGTACAGACTTTGAAAAGTTAAAAATGAAGTCTGTAAGAGAAGTGCAACTCAGGAAAAGTTGTGGGGATGTTTATAAACTATTAGCCACACTTACTTAAACCATTAAGACCATTTTATGAAAGAATTATGATGTGTGTATTAATGTTCAGAGAAAACTATATATGAAAATGATTTAATTTCAATTAAATTAACAAGGTTGGCAAATACCATACAAAAAAAGTTCTAAACAAACTGCTTGCCAAGTAATCACTCAGATTTGCACTAGGAATCGATACGTCTTATTGGGTGTTAAAGCCCAAAAGCTCATAGAAAATCCACATACATCACCCTGTATAGCCATCTCTGTACTTTCCAACTCCTCACTCTCGTATTTAAAGAGCTTAAAAGTGATGAATAGTAAAAGCAGGAGCAGTGCAGCGTGGTGAGCTGAGCCCAAGCCTGTGGAAACAGGCCTCAGTGTAGATGACAGGCCTAACGAGCTAAATATAGCCTTCTGGGTTATCTCCTCTGTGGGCGCAGCGAGTCCGTTGTTGCTTCACATTATTTACGTGTCTGTGCGTGCACCCTCTCTCTCCCTCTATCTCTCTTTCTTTCATTTCACGCCCCCCCACACAAACACATCACTATTTCTTTCCCTTGCACTCCCAGTTGCATTCTCTCTTTTCTCGTGTCTCAAGCATCTTTTTTTCACCCTCCATCTTTCCTTCCTGTATTTCTATCCCCTGATATTTCTCTCATTTCATCTCATTTTTTCACTCCCCCTCTCTCCTTCCCTCTGTACCTCTCTCCTACCTCAATCACTCTCTCCCTCTCCTCTTTTATTCTCTTTATCGCTGCCTCCGTTTGTATCCTTCCCTCCCTTCCTCCCTCCCTCAGCAGCTCCCTTTTTTTTTCAGTCTGACACTCGGAGCCTTTTTTTTCTCTCAAGCTATCTTTTCCTTTGAGCCTCTCTTTTACTCCCCTCCCTCTCATTTTCGCTCTCTTTTTTCCTCCCTCTAATTTCAGAGCCATGTCTATGAAGAAGCATGGTACTCTATCCAGCCACTACAGCACAAAGTGCCCCAGTTCAAATACTATAGCCTGGGGTGCTGACCCTCTGCTTACCTATATGGATATGTCATCTGCAGCTCTATGACCACCAGCCATAAGGGACCCCTATGGCAGAGAAATGAACTTGCACATACAGTGGAAGATACTCTTGCGTTATCTCTCTCTTAGTTTTCAATGACTCAGTGGTCACAAAGGACATGACATATTTATATGCACAAAGTTCGATCAAATGTCATGCAATGCCAGTGTCTTGGATGGAACTACATCTATGCTGGCATCTCACCAGTCCCATTGTGTAAGACTGGGTGGTGAGGATTTACAGTGGAGAAGGTGGATGTTTGTCTGTGCCATTTGTTCCACACAGTAACTCTGTGAAACCACAGCTAAACCCAGGGAGTGCCTGAGATTAGGAGAGTGGGTGTTTAAAAGTCTGTGGCTTTTCAGAGGGATTTCTTTGTGGGTGTTCTGCACTGTATCATATTCATGTGCAAGAGTTTCCCCTTGTTGTTTTAAACTACTAAGAAAAGTGTATCGAGGATATTTCGAATGAAACAAGGTCAGTTTGGCAAGTCCTTCTGCTTTTTTAAGGACCCCAACCAAAAAAGTGTTTGGCTTTGCAATTGCAATTTCGAGACTGCAGAGTGCTTATTGATAGAACAAATCCAACACAAGTAACTTCACATGCATTTCATCACACTTTCTTCTGTTCTTGTAAGTTGACACTAAATCATATCCAGACTATTTTTCTGTTATTTTTACGTCGGTTTTTGTGAACACTTTGGTTGGGGTTGACAAGTAACGAACAATGGCACATGGTGCTCTCTTAACTTCCAAAGTGGCCTTTAAGTCAGTTCCTTTAAAGTAACCATGAAAAAAACGAAAGAGTAAGTGGAAAAGTACTGCAAGTCAGAAACAACTACCATGTATCCTGGTTATGCACACAGCCAGTTTAACCTGTGTGTTAAGCCAATGAACTGTGATATTTTAGTAGCATCAAAAGCATACAAGGCTCATCAACACAGCAAGACCTGCCTTAGCTTTCTAAGGCTACATTAGCTATCATGAGCTATTGTTTATACCAGAGCAGGAAGTCATTTCTGCTCATGGCAATAATCAGTTTCCATTGAACTGCTCTTTGGTACGACAAAAGCCGTAATGAGCAATAAACAAAGGCTACTCTGAATAAAGTGGTGCCCCCCCACCCGCCCCCCTAAAAAAAAAGAAAGATGAGTCGTTCTTTTGACAGATCTTAGATTGGGAAGACAAAATCAAGGTCCCTTCAAAAAGCTCTTATTCTGATCAGCTACTTCTAACGCACAGAGAAAATGTCATTCAAATCATTTTGCCACACTACCACAACTTGAGAGATAAATAATGTGTTCTTCCTTCTTTCAAAGAATTGCAGTCCTGCTTAAAGCAGCTAAGAGTAGCTATAAGTATTATGTAGAATTAGTAAGTTAAAAAGATAGTTTGGTATTTTTGAAGTGGTGTTGAATGAACTGCTTGTCAAAAGAAGGTATATTATCTGCAGGAGATGTTGGTCAGCGTGGCCCCTTTAAGGAGCTGATTGCCGGTCCAGAAGCTCGGCTATCGACTATTCTGTACAGACAGGGTTGTTTGCACCACGTAGCATCTCCTGTGGTTAAAACAATTACTATTGACAAGTACCCCATTCAATCCCAATTTAAGAAAAACTGGACTGTCCTTTTAAGAGCACTGCCTTTTAAGAAGCTTTTAAGAAGGATACCATCTTCTTAAAAGACTAGACTATCTGTTGGTTACTCATTGCTTCATTGACAGTTATTATGAGAATTACAGTCAGTATAAATTAGGATCTTATATGAACAAGAATGTGTGTTTAAGTGTTGAATGACAAGCCCTTTTCAGAGTGCAATTCCGCAAAAGCACTGTCAACGAAGCTCCGCTGTCAGTACGTCTTTGCACATTTACATTGATCACGCAACGGTGTAATATCGGCGTCCCAGTCTATGAATTCACAGTGTGTTGCGGCGTTGCAGGGGAGAGGGTAAGGTAAGGTAATTTTATTTGTACCCGTAGGTAGACAAAATTAGGAAGTGTCTTTTAGAGGAAAGCCATGTTTAAAATCACAGAAACACACTTAGACATGCACATACACACAGCACTGACCCCCAAGCCCCACTGACCCTGTCTCACCCCTGTAACACCTGTGTTACTATCTCCAATGGGGGGTGCAGAGGTGAGATCTCTTTGGCCCCAATTATGCCTCTGTGACATTCAAAGTGAAGCAAGAGGTCACGGGGGCTATTGAATGCGTATGGGCTGTACCTCCAGTGTGTTTGTGTTTTTCTGTTTATCTTCTGAGTGTCTGTCTGTGTGCTTCTATATCCATTTGTCTGTTTCGCTGTCTGCCCGCTTGCTTTTCTCTCTCTTTCTGTCTATCCATCTGTGAGTCTATCTGTGTCTTTCTCTCTCTCTCTCTCTCTCTCTCTCTCTCTTTCTGTCTATCCATCTGTGTGTCTATCTGTGTCTCTCTCTCTCTCTCTCTCTCTCTCTCTCTCTCTCTCTCTCTCTCTTTCTGTCTATCCATCTGTGTGTCTATCTAGCTTACAGCCCTGATCCTGCCTGCTCTCCCAGGTTTATGAAATGTGAGCAGCTTAGCAGATGGTGCATATCGTATTCTGGTCGGCTCTGTGTGGGTTTTGTACCACAGACGAAGGCTTACGATACATGTGAGCCTTTAGTCACACAGACACACCGACACAGAGGGAGCTCAGGCTGTTAGCGCACCAGAGACAACAGAGAGATGAAGAGGAGACAGAAAAACAGACTGAACCTGATAGTAGGTATGATGCTCGGGGAAAATATTCTGAGAGTTAAGTGAAAAAAAAAAGTATGCTTTAGTTTAGAGAGAGGTACAAGTGAGAAAGATAAACATGAAGAGAGCTCTTATAATAACAATTTAATCATGATTTGAACTACGTGTGAAAATGTTTGACTGGTTCCATCAGAAAGATATTCAAGAAAGCATGACAAAGAAAATAAAGTTTTAAATGATATATAGACTCTATAGGATTTGTTTGATCTTGATTGTTTAATCTTGAAACACCTTGACTGTGGCCTAAATAAGTGGATAAAATGAGAAAGTGAGGTCCAAAAGGGAAGTGACAGGGATACATTTGCTCTGGTTTTAAATCCTTTAAAAGAAAACAAAGGACTCTACTCAATTTCCGGAAGAAACAGACGACTAAAAACACTGTACAGTGGTAGTGAAGATGTGACTGACTCACCATGATGTAGTGCCTCTGCATCTCAGTCTTCTCACTCGCCAGCTTCTCACACTCCAGTTTCAGGCTGCAGAAGGACAGGAAGGACACACAGCCCTGGATTAAATGGTGTAAGTGCATCGTCTGAAATGAATTATAATTTCCACAGGACTTGGATTTTGCAGAGGTCAAACATAGTTTAAGGCTGCATTAGGATACCGGAAAAAGAAATTCTTAGCCACACAGTCAGGCTACCGATTACTGCTGAGAGCGGCACTTAAAAATATCCCCTTCATGGTAGCAACTGGAAGCAGAGTGTGTCTTATTCATCACTGCTATCCATCCCACCTCCATGTGTGTGGGAGTGTGTCTAGCTGTATATATTATTTGTACATTGGTGTGAGTGGTGTTCTGCAGCTGAGCCCATGAAAAATGACTTTGTATTAAGTCAGGACTGTGACGTTTAGTTATGTTTAGTAGTGCAGGTTTGGTTGTTCCTAAATTCTTTAAAATGTTTTTTTTTTTTTTTTTTTTGATTGAATAAGTCAATAATGGATGGCATACAGACTCTTTAAATGCAAACGTCTTTAAATCCCCTTGGAGAAAGGCATCATAATATGTAGGTTATAGACCAATTGGGAAAATCAGGCCCGATTGCGATACCGATGTTTGTTTGATGACTTTGGTGTAAGACTCCCACAATGCCATCATTTTCTCTCATGTTTGACAATAAAAACAAGTCACAGTTTTTCCAATGGATGACTTCATCTGCCCTCTGTGTGTGTGTGTGTGTGTGTGTGTGTGTGTGTGTGTGTGTCTCTAAACACAAACACACACACACACACACACACACACACACACACACACACACACACACACACTGAGCGCCACCAGTCCATTACCCATCAGAAAAGTGTTGTTGCTGTATCGCAGCAGGCACTTCAGTCTACCCACTGAAGTGTGAGCAAACGGCTTGATGTTTTAACCCACGATAGTTTATCTTTCTGAGCCAAGGTCACGTCTGGTCAGTCATATGATAATGTGACCATCAGTGACCTCCAGTTACACAAAATGGAAAGATGTAAATTGCATTATATTTGGCTTATATGTGGGAAACTATAACCTCTGTTATCCACAGCTTCTGAGATAATGCAACAAAGATTCATGGCTAGCAATAAGAAGACATTGAGGACATTTAAGCTAAGATGAATATACAGTAACTTACAGATTGTGAGAAAAACTTGAAATGTCTGCCTCAAAAATTACTCTGAACTTTAAAAGTTGTGAAGTACATTAAAAAGTAAATGTGACTCTTTTAGTTTGTCTACGCACTTTAACAGCATACCTTGTACATAGAAGGCGAGTTATAGATTTAGGCAAGGATGATGACTTAAAGACTTGATCTAGCAGAAAGAGCGTCAACTCATCATCAGCAACATTTTGTAAAATACAGTGTAGTGACAATTAAATGACATTTTCAAACTGTCAAATTATCTGTACTGATATGCTTTCATTTAAGACAAAATATTTGACCATTTGTGTGTGTATGTGGGCACGTGTCGTTTCTGCAAAATAATATTGTGCTGACCTGTGATATTGCGCCTGGAGGAACTGGAATTCCTCCTTGATTCGGTCCAGGGTTTCCAGGACTGTGAACTTAAAAGACTGGCCGGGCTGCAAGGGTACCTGCATAGGAAAAAAAATATAGAGAGGAGAGAGAAAAAAAGGATGAAACACAGGCACAGGTGTGTGTGTGTGTGTGTGTGTGTGTGTGTGTGTGTGTGTGTGTGTGTGTGTGTGTGTGTGTGTGTGCAAGTACTGTACACATTTATGCTTGTGTGTAATTTTTTTATGTGTGTCAGGGAGCAAAGAGTGTGGGGGGGGGGCGAGCAAAGATGAAAGTGAGAGGGAAGGTCACTTCCACTTCCCACACACCATAAAGCCATGTCCTCTTTCTCTCTGTTCTCCTCCTCCTCTAATGACTCTCCCTCCTTCTCTCCCCTGCCTCATCCTTTCTTCCTCTCCTCTCTCTCTCTCTCTCCCTCTCTTCTACATTAGCATCCTCGCCTCTCTGCCAGGTTGCTAATGTATTCCAGCCTACAAAGAGCTGAGAAGGGAGGAAACGTCAAATGAATAAGTTATAGGAAATCATGGCAGCGTCTCTCACCTGCCAAAAGCTCAAGAAGGCCCAACAAAATAAGCACCTCCCTGGGGTACACCACCCACCACCCACCACCCAACATCTACCTGTGTCTGTTTAAAGCACTTTCTACAGCCTCCCTCTTCCTCTGTGGTCTTCATGAAGTTTAAAAAACAAGGGAGCGGTGGATGTTTTTGGATGATGTCGTTGTTAATGTTTGTTGGCAGAAAAATCAACAGCGTAAAAAAATGGTTGTGGATTCTCTTGGGAGATTTTTCATGTAAGAGACGACTTAGTTCCCGCATTCTTCTCATTTTTTCTCCTATTTTTGATTTGGCTTTTTTTTTCTACACTGGGGACTCCTGCTGTTACCCTGGGGATGATTCAGACTGCCAGGTGTCTCAGTCACTTCTTCTCACCTGTCAGCAATCAGCCTCAACAGGAGTATTGAGGTTCACACACTATCCCGCCTAGATTCCACCTCCCTCCTTCCCCTTCCTCTGCCAGAGTGCTGTGACGCTGCTCAGGCAGGAACAAGGACATGTTGTCGCCATCCCAACCTGCAATTGATCCATGCAGTTTTCAGAAGTGTAACCCACCAAACCCAAAGCACCACGTCTAGTGTCTGAACCTTGATCCTTAAATTGTGGGAAACAACCTACAAACCATCTTTAAAAAGAATGGATGCAAAGTGAAAACTCAGTTCAAGTTTCTTTTCATATGACATGATCTTGGAAACCATGATCCTCAAAATGAAGTCTCCTCTTACTTTGTTACAGCAGAGACACAAAATTGACATGAGAATATATCAAATGAAGACAGGTATTTGACAAAGATTAATTAGGTACTTGTAGTCACAAATAATATAGCTTGGTCTTTTTTTTTAAGCTATTTAACTACCAAAATCAAACTGGCCCATCCCAACTGGTATCTACCTATGTATTCTTCCATCTACAAATCCATCCACCCATCCATCCATCCAAACTGAGGTGATGGTGCAGTGCTGCAGGGTGGCTATCAACAACTACGGCTAAAAGATTGGCGGTTTCAGTGGTGGGGCTTCATTAGTCTAGACAAGCACAATTCAATTAGATTTCAATTAGTCCAACGGTGGAGGTCAGAGACGCGGTGGGTTTGCTGGTAATTAATCCACGAGTCGAGCTGAGCTAAACGGAGCTGAGGCAGGCATAGCAGGGACATCTAGATTGCTGGATGGACAGCGCACGTGCAAACCTTCTGCGTGTGTGTGTGCGTGTGTGCGTGTGTGTGCGTGTGTGTGTGTGTGTGTGTGTGTGTGTGTGTGTGTGTGTGTGTAGGAGGGAAGGGATTGAGATGATGGGTGGGCGTCTGCCAACAGATCCCTGCTGACCTTGATTCACACCACACACACTCATCAGGGGGAGGGTAGGAGCTGAGGGGAGATAGGGAGGGGTGGATAGTGATCTGGCACATGCAGACACACAAACACACCAAAAGAGCCATGAGCGTATTGAAAAACACACAAACAAACAAACACACCCTGCTGCACACACACACGAGCACAAAGAGAACACACCAACCCACAGTTGGAGGGAGAGGAGAGGAGAGGAGAGGAGAGGAGAGGAGGGATGGATTGACGAGGGCAGAAAAGAGGTGGAAGAGAGATAGATAGTCGTCTGTCAGACAGAAGGATGGATGGAGCGAGGGATGGAGGAAGTGATAGACTACTCTGACATCCTTACAGAGGAATGAAAGAACGAGCAGAGAGACAGATGATGAAATAGCGGCGTGGCTGCTGACTGAGAGAGATAGCCAGCCATTCATCCGTCTGACACCAAGGGGACGTGGAGAAGACAGGGAGAGAGGAGAGAGCGCATTAGCTGTAGTCAACACAGCCTGGTCGCTCCACACTGTGCACCGTCCATCGGTCTGTGCTAATACTGCTACCACCATCTGCTGCCATGAACACATGAACACACAGACACGTACTCATGCAGACGCACACAGACACATTGCTGCTGGCGAGTTACATCAGCAGCACTAAAGTCATATAACAAAGCCCATAGTCACAGATAAGGATTATACAACGGATCTGCGTGTGGCAACCGTCGGTGTCAACATGGCGACCTCTGTGGCGTGCTGATGAGGGAGATTTGAATTGCTTTCATCTGTAGGACTTGAATGCAGGGAATGTCTTTCTTTTGATTTGCCAGTTACACCTTCTTGAATGAGTTTCATAGATCCTGGAGCAATAAAACTTTTATGAGCAAAAAGGAAATGAAAAAATACTCACAGACATACAGGCAGTTGCGCGCGCACACACACACACACACACACACACAGAAAGTTATAAGGTCTCCAGGCAAAAGAAGATATATTCCCGGCCTGTGCTGAGCTCGGCCAGCTAAGTTTAGAGAGCTGGTGTTAAATTAAATCACGCCTACTAGAAATAAAAAAAAAGAGTCTGATTCTTGCTCAATGGCACATCGGCAGGTAAAAGTGACCTAGGTATACGTTATTATTATAAGTGGTTAAAAGTCCAGTGTTTACTAGGATGGAGGCATTATCAAGTAAAGACATACGCACACCAGTTACATGTGTGTGTGTGTGTGTGTGTGTGTGTGTGTGTGTGTGTGTGTGTGTGTGTGTGTGTGTGTGTGTGTGTATATGGTTTTTCCTGTATGGTGACAGATGGCAGCTCAGACTGTTAGGGGTCCAATAGCGCATCACAAAGGGCCAAAAAAACAGCCGACAGCCTGTGTGTTTTCATGTGTGTGAACGTACAAGTGTGTATGGTGTGTGTGAGTGTAAGCACCACAGAAGCCAGCAGAGGGGATCCTGAAACCCAAAACTGATCTGGTTAATCTAGGAGGTGGAGGTTGAGGAGGGGGAGGGGGGGAGGAGGGTGGAGGGGGGGGGGGGGGTCACTTGTGCACAAACAAACACACACACCATGGACACCCTGTGGAACAGAAGTCAATCACAATTTGGTGGAGCTGGCACGAGCCAGCAAGAGAATTAGGAGGGATTATCTATGGTGGTGGTGGTTGGGGTGGGGGGTGGGGGGGGGGGTAGGAGAGCAGTGGCAGTTTAAGCCCATCGTGCTGTATAACATAACAGGATGGAGGTGGGATACACTGGCTTTAACCGTCACCTGTCAGCCTGTCTGTCTGTCTGTCACAAGCCGTTGACTGTGTTTCCTGATACAGAAGCTCAAACATTGTACTGGTCCTTTACAGTGTCCTGCTTTACACTAGACGTCTTATTCCTCATTTCTTTTGTAACTTTGTCCGCCGCTTGATAAGCACCTAAACAAGATTTTCCATCCACCTTCATGTTTGACATGATTAGTCCATTTTTTTCACCATCCAGCCAGAACATTAGGTCATTCTGGTTCCATCTGTCAGTCTGTCTGTATCATGGGTGTCTCCTGTTCAAGCAGCTGCCTGTTTTTCCACCACTGGCAACGGCAGCATGAGAGAGACAGCAAACTGTGAAATAGATGCAGGTTTGGGTCTATATCCACACTCTCATGTTTTTTCTTAACAAAACCAATAACTTTAACTATGTTTACACAAGAGCGTCCACACTACAACACCCCTATACTGGAGACTTTTGGAAATGCGTCGGATCCCCTCCTTATTTAAAAACACAGAGGTTGCATTTACAGTAGGTATGTTAGTGCAGAAACGTAGACTTTTGGAATCAATGACGCAGACATCCAAAGAAAAGAGACCGTCTGACTTCAGATGAATAACGAATTAAAGGTGCAGCTGTAGTCCCGCGAATATTAACATTTTATAATGCTGCTTTTGCCAGCACAACACAACGCAAGCCATTATGAGTGTGAATTCCATGCCCAGCTGCATTAACAACCCTCGATGTAGCAGTGCTGTTCTGGGTGAGCGAACCAGTGCCTGTCTTGTGAATTTGCTCACATCATTGCACAGGTGCAGAGCTTAATGCAGAACAAACAAGTGCTAAGAAAAGTGTTTAAACGGACTTCCAGTCAGCAGCAGCAACAATGTTATTTTCAGCAGTCAAAACAACAACGTTAGCCTACCTAACGTAGCTTTCATAGACACTCATTTTCCCAAATATTTTTCTGTAACTATATACAACATTTATAATTCTCTGGCCTACACATTTCCGATGATTTATATTTCAAAGACCCATGTTTTGGGGGAAGTCGGACACAACACTTTCACTGCTTCGATTGTGAGGGGCATCTAGCCTATAAGCTAGCTGAGACGCCTTTTGTAGCGCACACTGGCTTGGTAAGGGTGCGTACTTCCTGCATACTTATTAACGCCAACATTTTTATGGCCCCTGTACACAAAGGGGTCATGTGAAATACACATTAAGATGTTTTTGGATTGACAGATTATGACACAAAATGATATGAAAAGAAATTTAACAACGATAAACTATAGAAACCATACGCTACATCACACTGTACCATGCGCTATACAACCTCAAGCCCATTTACCAAGTCCATCTACCACCATAAACTTTATTGTCCCACTAGGGGAATTCATCTTGGACTTGAAATGCTGCAAACGTTTAG